TACCCAGATCCCTCCGTTAACTTTCACTTCTCCTAAATAAGATTGACTATGTTCATGCCTCTGACCTGAACAGCCTAACAAGCCTGAGAGTTCTTGATTTATCTGGAAACTGCGCTCTACAGATTCATCCGGATGCTTTTATTGAACTATCCAAACTACAAGACCTATGACTCTCTGGGAATTCTTTACAAACGATCAACCCATCATGGTTCCAGAACCTTACTATGTTAAAGTAACTCATTGATAAGTGAATTTGAAAGCGGCCAATTTTTCAGTGTTCGACCAAAAGAGGAAGTTGTAGATTTCTCATACAATAATCCGTCTCAAAGATTTTACCATAGAATGAAACTCTTGAAAGGTTTTGCTAGTTTGGAATCACTACAAACACTTCACCTAGAAGGTTATATTTCCCACATTCTTTGTGAGGAAGATCTCAGACCTCTTTTTGGTTTGAGAAACCTATCCGTTCTAAACTTGGGAGTCAACTTTCTGCAACATCTCAATCTAGCGGTGTTCAGGAACTTTCACAACCTGTCTTTGAATTCATTGATTGACAACAGGCTAACATTCACAAGTCCTTTTCGGAGACAGGAGTGTAGAAGTGACATCCTTTCTGATGACAATGAAGGAGACCGCCGTGAAGGCCCCTACATTCACACAATTGAACAGTTCCGCCATTATCCTCCATTTACCAAAGCTGAATACCTGGCAACAGGACCAGTTTTGGACCTCAGCAGGAAACAACATTTACGATATCAATCAAATTTTCTTCACAGGAGCAGAGAACATCAATTGCCTCAATCTTTCCTCCAACTTTATTGCTTCATATTTCAATAGTACAGAGTTCACTCACTTCCCCAGGCTAAAGTACCTTGACTTGTCTCACAACAGTGTCTACATGCGTTCAGATTCTGCCTTTAATGAACTGAAAGAATAACAAGTTTTGGATTTAAGTCACAAAAAACATTACTTTGAGGTGGCAGGTGTCAGGAACAGTCTGACGTTCCTGGAAAACAGTTCCTCAAAATGCCCAACCTCAGTTGGAATGAGATAAATTCACTAACCAACAAGACTTTGAAGACCAACTCACTGAAGGAACTGCAGTTTCAAGCCAATCGACTGGATATAATGTGGAAGAAGGACCGTGGATTCAAAAGTCTTTTTAAGTCTCTCTTGAACCTAACACACCTTGATATATCATATACTGTAACAAGCTTAGTGAAATACCAGACATTCAGCTATTTTCAAGGGCGCTAACATATCTTAGCATGAGCAGGAACACTCTGGCCAATTTTGAGTGGGGGAACAGCTCAAATATTTACCCGAGTTGGAGACTCTGGATCTAAGTAAGAACAAACTGAGTAAGGTTACTAGAAAACTATCAAAGCATACAAGCTCGTTGAAGGTCTTAGACTTGAGCCATAATCTTATCTTCAAGTTGCATCACAGCTTTCTCAAAGATGTCAAAAGCCTGCTGATCCTCAGTCTTGCTTTAAGCCGCTTGAAGCACATCAGCGATGCATCCTTCCAGACAGGTAGTGATCACTTTCACATGCTGAACCTGCAGAGAAACCCTATCCACTGTACCTGTGACTTTCTGGACTTCATTCTCTGGTTAGAGAAAAGTGAGATTGTCCTTCCTCGTCTTGCAACAGTCGTCTTGTGCGACCTTCCGGAATCCAAAAGGGGGCATCCAATGGTCAGTCTAGACTTTAAAAATGCCTGCATCAACAACAGTATTGCTCAAATCCTATATGTACTCACGTCATCCATCATCACTGTCATGATGTCTACAACTATTGTGATACATGTGTTCTACTGGGACATGTCATACATTTATAATTTCTGGAGAGCCAAAATATAAAGTTATTACTTGAAAAAAAATGACTGCACATATGATGCCTTTGTTATGTACGACACCAAATATCCGATGGTGGCAGAATGGTTACTGAACCACTTGCGTTTTGAACTGGAAGATAGAGGAAGACGAGTTCGTCCACTCTGTCTGGCGAAAAGAGATTGGACTCCTGGTATACCGATCATGGATAACCTAAATGTCTCGTATTTGGCCTCATCCTTCTGCTATAAACAGGACTACCTCAGATTTGTTCAAAGTGGGATTTTCAAGATGGCAGCTTTCCTAGTGCAAAAAAAGACTGTTGGAAGAGGGCGTGGATGTGATGGTGTTGGTCTTGTTGGAACCGGTTCTTCGGCAGTCGAGAATCCTAAACTTGCAGCGCTGCCTGTGGGCACACAGTGTGTTGGAGTGGCCCAGAAATTCGGCAGAAGAAGGCTTTTTCTGGCAGAGTCTGAGAAACGCAGTTAGGTTTGAGAGTCAAGGTGTGCAAAGCAAATTGTTGACAAATTACTTTAGAGGACGATGACTCTGCACAAAATAAGTAGTTTCGATTGAAACACTTCTGCCGTTGAGATTCTTGCTTGGATTCCTTCTACTGAACTGTTTGTGATTACCACATTGGGGAAATTTTAACATTTATTCTTATTAGTAAATGTATCGTTTAAAACAGGTATATTAATAAAGTCAAGAGTTACGTTAAAATCTATGTAATTTACATAATACATTTTAAGAAAACTAATTTCTGTCATGACAACTCTCAGAGGGATTGGCATGGTACATGACAATGTTAATGTGTTTGGTCTTGGCGGAATAGATCTGCTAAGCTGCTGCTGCTGCTGTGGCAGAGCAAGTACTGACATCTGCTACTGCCAAAACATCCACAACATGCTGCTGTAAGCATGTAAGAAATACTGCTGCTGCACATAACATATATGAAATAACCCCCATATAGCATACAGGTGGAGCTGGGGAAGGTGGAGGGTTTCTAAAGCATGCTGCAACTGCTACAGCAAGCACTAGTCAAGTATTTGAATGTTGAGCTGCAAGCTCATTGGCTGCAGATACAAAAAGAACCAATCAGCTGAGCCATGTGATAATGATGACATCACGTCAGATTGAGAGTTTGACCTATCGGACTGCACCATCTAGAGTTTCATGCCCGAACTTTGGATTTAAGTTATTTTTGTGATTTTAAGTGTTTTGTGAAACACTCTTTTTCAGAGCAGAAATAGATTGAAAGAAAACTTTTATGCCATCAGTATGAGACACACTCTCATGTGATACGTCATCAGCGCGTTCACGCACGCTGTGCAGACAGAGCGAGAATGGCAGACAAACATCAACAACCTGACCTTCCTTCCTGGTATTGTAGTACTTTTAAAGTTTTCTCGCCGGTGAATGACACATGATGAAGCCCAGCGGTCCAGTCCTCGCGCACATATTTTGCATGTCTCGCTTAGTTAACACACCCAATTCTGATAACCAACTCATTAGAAGTGAGCTATGTGCATGAACTGTGTTCTGATCGATATGATCCCTACACCGTGTTCATTGCTCCCTACTCCCTGAGCAGGGGTTTACTTCATTTCGGAATATGGGCTGGAATTGAGAACGGCTGATGTAGCCTATTGTAGTAATGTTGTCTCTGGTATTCTGGTCTGTGAGCGTCTATGCGTTCAGGGGGCGTGGCTTTGGACGGCGATTGCAGGGAGGGTGGGATGTTCGCTTTCAGTGCTATCAGGCTAAAGTTAGCATTTTCCAAGATCTCCTACTGCACCTTTAAATATATAGCTATTTTTATTTACATGGGGGAAATTATATTGTATCCTAATGTAACAAGAAACACTTGTTTCCAAGTTAGTTTTTATTACATTAAATCAAAATGTTGTGAGTTTTTTGCCATTCTGTCTGTAAAGTAGACTTTCCTCACAATGCTGACACTGCCTTCTTAAACTAATTTTATAAACAACTTCCCATTAGTCTCAGTTATGGTGCAATCAGAGTCACATTTGTACAGGAAATACTCTGATGTACTTTATCACTCTAGAGAGCGATACAGCGTGGTGACAGATTTTTATCAGTACCTTTTGTGGACTCACATAGTTGCAATACACAAACACACAGTTACTCCAGCTCTCTATGTCCTTCCCTTTTTCATCTTTTATTCATCATGAAACCAGTGATGAAAAATTCATGACTCCAGGCAATGAAATGAATGCAAAATGAAAACTGTGGGCGTATAAAAATGGTGAGAGAAGAATGTCTCTATCTAGGGTGGCACAAGGTGCGGATCATGGCGAGGGCAGTGGGTTCTGGAGAGCTCTCTGCTAACTCTTTCTATGTTAATAAAGTAGATGAACTTCTGATAGACCGGTTTAATTTCTAACATCACGAGAACCTGGGTAACTACACTGTGTGCTTGCTGAAGAATATTATAGCTTACATGAGCAAAAATCACCCCATCTACTGGAGGCCAACCATGAGAAACAAAGCAAAAATAATTTATGGTGTTTAACATAGGACCAAGAAAATCGCATCATATGGAATACCATTATTGAATAAATGAAGAAAACTTCAAGTGCCTTAAAGGCACAATACGTACGATTTTTTTATTAAAATATCCAAAAACCACTAGAACAGTGTTATATAATTTGCTGACTTGTGTACTTACATTATCCCAAATGTTTCGAAGAATGTTTAAATCCAGAGAAATAAGCAATTTGAACTAGTGACACGGACCGTGACGTCATAACCCCTCGATTTCCGGTTTTGTTTTGTAGAAAACATGGAAACACCAAAGACGCTTTAATATGTTGTGCGTTTTAATAGACCGGTGACGACCGCACAGAGTAGCATTATAACAGAACTTTCAAACGTATCTAGTATGATAAAACAGCGCTGCTTTTTTTTCCCACATCCACACGACCGGAAGGAGCGGAAGCGGCCGACTGTGGCATAATAAAAGCTCCGCTGCTTTCGAGCCGTGTGTCGCACTCGTTCAGCGGCCTCGTTTAGCTTCGACAGCTTTCAGCCTCACCCTGCTTCATTCTACTACGCTAATAAATCATTAGCTCATCCATGAACATGATTTCTGCCCGAGTCCCATCGGATTGCATCGGCTGTGGGGATGAAGACGACAACTCCCATGATTCCACACTCAGTCACGGCCTCATCAAACTACGCTTTTGTCTCTTTGTTTATTTGGAATATGTGCCCTCTAGAGGCGAAAATTACATATCGTGCCTTTAATGTTACGGCATAAAATGATCAACAGTAAAAGCAAGGGGAAAAAAGTTTACTAAAATTGGTGTAGAAACAATTTTCATTCAGTAATTGCTAAATTTCACAAACAACTACAATGGCCAGTAACGTTAATTTCAAAGTAAACTACTTGAAGATGTAAAGTAGAACAACTGAAATTGTATTTTCTTGTAAAACATACTTCAATAATCTTTGTTTTATTTACAACTTTGAAAAACATTTTTTTCCAATCTAGTTCCTGGGTGTCTCTAATATAAGACTATATAAACCCTTATATCTGTGAAAACCCTCATCACCATGTGGTAGTAGCCAGAGCCATAATCACAGCTATAGAAATGTCCATTTAATGTATCTAAACACGTTGAAATTATGATTAAAATATCTATATTCTATTTACTAGTATGATATATGTAACGCCAACAAAGCAATATAGCATACTACTGTTTAAAACGTATTGTCGTGTACTGCATACAGTAGGCTACTGTTAATTCCCATCTTAAAGAAATGTATGCAGTGTACCCCTTACGAAAAAGAAGTGTATTCAAGTGTGTTATTAGTATACTTTTTTTAAACTAAAAATAGGAAAGTATACTTTTAGTCTACTTTTTATGTACTTCTCAGAAATGGGCTTTATGTACTTCTCAGAAATATACTTAAAATGCCATTTAAGTATACTTGATTTATACTTAGAAAAAGTCTAAATATATTTTAGCTATAATTGTGCTCCTAGAATCCGTGTTTTCATTGTTATACTGTAGAGGGCGCTAGTACACATCTTCTGTACAGAATTTCCAAAAAACACAAGTGAAGAAGAAACCGAAACAACAGATGCTTTCACATGTATTCTAACACGATCATTAGACATAAAACAGCATCAAAACTGTGTAACATTATGGAATAAAATGTCGACCAATGTAATAACTGTCAAGCTTTGGGGTGTTGATCGACTTTAGCTACGTTTTGATTATCATTCTGAATCCAATTCATAGTCTTTTTTCAGCTTTTTGTTCATTAGTAAACTATCAGTATACCTATAAGTTCACTTTTAGTATAGTTGCAGTACAAACTAAACATTTTGATGTAAACTAGTTGTGTACTCAAAGTTTACTACTGTTATACTTAAAGTATACTTTTATATACTAGAAAGTGGGCCAATTTAGTCCCAAGGGGTATTGAAATAGTACACTTACAAGTATACTACTAGTACACTGATATTTGTATACTTACTACATAAAGTATACTTAAAAATATACTTGAACTTTACTTAAGTATACTTACTAATATAAACTTGAAGTATACTACTTTTTGGTAAGGGACGTTACAGTGCACAGTATGCAGTACGCTAGCATTCCATTCCGAACATGATTGTTGCCGGTTAGTGCTGTTTACCTCGTCTCAGTAGTGAGGTGGATAGCCTGTATGTTTGCCCAAAGTTTGTCAGAAGAACTGAGGATGGAAAGCAAATCCGTTCTGTGCATGTCATGTAGCCTTTAGAGACGGTTGGTCTTGGTAGGCTACACTCACCAGAGCAGGTGAGTGTAGCCTACCTCACGAATGGTTGTTTCAGATGGTATAAACACTTGCGGTGTTGGTTTGGACCTATATACAGTCTATGGTTTGAACAAGCCTGGATATAGTATACTGGATATAGTTCACTGGATATAGTTCAACTTCACGCCTACAAATAAAGCCTCGTTTACAATCAGTTTGCGCCAATTTAAAAAATAGACACGCGCGCGAATCTGACAGCAGCTTTATCGTAAACGCAAGGTAAAAATTAACGGTTATTTTGTTTTTAAAATACACATTGGACGACCGCATCTATAAATAATGCTCATAATTTTACATTCAATTATAAGTATAAAGCAGTTTGAGTCAAACAAGTACATTACAATACAATACATTTCTTTAAATAATTTTTATTTATTTAAATTTTTTTCTAGTATGGCTGTACAGGCAACCACGTGTCAACACCTCACACGATGACATCACTATTGTAAAATAACTATTTTAATCTGTCTTTTATGTATACAATTTTAAATACAGAAATAAAACGCTTTGGACATTATTTATATTTATGTAACTATAATATCTTTATATACTTTTGTATGGTTTAGCCTACATAATAAACTACAAAATACGTATGTCAGCACTTCACACAATGTCATTACTATTTTAAAATAAAATTAATCATAATATATTTTTTGAAATATCAAGGTAATGTTTTATATGTATTTTATGTATAAAAATGTAAATACAAAAAATATTTGGACATTATTTATATTAATGTAACTATATTAAGTTGTTATTTATATTACTTTTTATTATTTATATAATATAACTCTGTACAGGCTACAAGCCGCATATGTCAACATGTCACACGATGACTTCACTTTTACAATAAAATCAATCATATTAAGATCTTTTGAGATCTTAAGATTATACGTTTTATGTCTTTTAGGCTTATGTTTTTTTTGTTTTTTTTACTAAAAAGCTTTGGACATTATAAATATTTATGTAACTATATTATATTTTTTATTGACATAGCTTTTTGACTATTTATATAATATAACTCTGTATAAGCTACAAACCAAGTCAACACATCACACTATGGCATTGCTATTTTAAAATAAAAACCATGTTAAAATCGTTTGATATCTTAAGATAATAAGCCTAATATGTCTTTGATATATAAAAATTTGAATACTAAAAAAACATGGGACATTATTTATATTTTTATGTAACTGTAAAAAATGACCGTGAATTTAACGGTAAAAGACTGTAAAAATGCTACAGTAAAAACCTGTTAAATGGTTAACGGTAAATTCCCCTACAATATACGGTGAAAAACTGTATTGGACATTACATGTATTGGACATAAATTTTACGGTAGTATACCGTTTTTGAAAGTGAAAAAGACTGTATAATTTACAGTGAATAACCGTAAATTGACATTCCCAGAATTCCCTGCGTTACATTTCAAATTTGATAGTTATTTCAACACAAAAACATGTTTTTTCTTATCAGTTTTGTATTTTAGGGTTGTGTGTTGCACCTAATGTTGTTAAATTAATGTTTATTGCATTATTTCAGTTTCATGTGTGTTACCGTGATGGTGTTTAGTGTTTGTGTGAATGACGCTGTGCACCTTCTATATATGTTATTATTTAAAAGCTGCTTGCGATGGGCTTTGGTTCATCATGTGACTTTCTCATCACCACCTGCATTTGGTGGTTATCAGTGTATTACAAAGCTACAAAACAGATTTCAGTACTTCAATAGGTTGGTATATAAACATTAGATCAGTTAATGAAATTACGGTATTTAACTGTAAATTTAAATTAAAACCGTAAAACGTTGCTACCGTATTTATTACGGTAAAATTCCGGCAACCACAGCTGTTTTTTACCATAAATTTTACGGATTTTTTTTTACAGTGGTTATTTATGTTTTTTTTTTTTTACTATTTATACTTTATTTTAGTCATAGCATATTTTTAAACTTGTTTTTCATGCTTTATTTTCTTCCAAAAACATATTAATTCATACATAAATAGATCAACAAGATAACACACAGAACTTTGTTTCTTCTAAATGTAACTCAGTAGCATGATGCTATTTCAAGGTCTGTGTCTGTGTATTGTCTGCATATGCAGCCTTACAGTACTGAGCTCCAGGGATCGTAGACGTCACACACTCCCTGGAGCTCAGGGCCAGCTGTCAATACGCAGATGCCGGCCCCACAGGAACTCACACTGGCCCCAGCGGTGGATGCAGGGAGCCAACCAGCGCACAGCTTCTGTGTAATGAGACGGGGCCTTTCGCTGACAGTCCACCCCTGAGTGAGTACTGCGCCTGACATACAGCTACAAGCGTGATAGTTGTCGTTTGACAACTCCCTCGTCACGAATTCAGAAAATGTGCACAAACAAAATGCTCTCTCTCTATTCATTACCATTGTTCGGTAAGTTGCTGGGACTCCTTCTGCTGGTGCTGTGGAGTTTTGGGGCCCACTGAGACTTGAATGAGCATGAACCCCACTGAAGTGTGAACATGCGCGTGTGTGTGTGGTCCTCCTGGTTTTTTAATGCTTCATTATTAAAAAGAACATGCTAGTGGCTAATTAGGCATAGTTTGATGTGCCTCCCTCTCTTCTCATCGCCGAGTTAGCATCTCTCTGGTAAACTGATTGCTTGTGTTGAGTTTCGAGCCGTTTCACTGACATTGACCCTGCCACAACGCTCCAGATGCCACGCTGAGACGTGACTGGAAAGGCAGAGCAGGAGCATGGAGGCTCTTTTTCATTTCATTGGTTCATCAACTGGCCAATGAAATCAGCATACAACACAGAAACCCAAATGCATGACTAATTTGTTATGCCTTCACAGCTAATTCTGCCCTATTTTGTGTCATTATTAGGTTTCTAGTATAGTTGCTGTGATGTGACATCTCAAAATGTTTATTTACATGTTAACTTCAGTATTATTCTTCTTGAGCATTTGGAATTTGAAATAGAATACATGGTTAAATAAAAAAAAAACGTAACAGTTTTTGCTCATATTTCACCCAAAATCGAAAAATACTAAATTATTTTCTGCATTTAAAAAAATAAAGCCCATTTTAAAGCCAATATTATTTAGAATTTTTTTGAATTAATGTCAAATAATGCCAACAATTTTCATTACCCCATTGATAAAACCTCATTCTCATTTCTGTAAAAAGATACATTATTTGAATTGTAAAATATGCATAACTGAAGCGAGTCTTCACATAATATTTAATACCTGTTCAAATAAAAGAACAATCTTTATTTTACCCCAAAACAGTATTACAGCAGGGTTGTTATTGACGGTTAACTAAAACTGGAACTACAAACATTTTTTTTTATAAAATAAACATTAATATGAATATTTCAGCTAGTTGCCAAGGCAACATTTTAATTTAGTTTAGCTTGATGTAATAAAATAACTAAAAATGAAACTGAAATAAAAATGAATAAAAAACTATATAGACATATATAAAAAACTACTAAAAATGACAAAAAAACAAAACAAAATGACTAAAACTTTAACTAACATTAAGGAAAATATTATATATAAAAACTGATTCAAAATATTAATTAAAACTATAATACTATCGCAGTGATACTAAAATAATACTGCATTACAGTAATGAGATTCACCACTGAGAATAATGGGAAACAGCTGAAAGTCTGAATATTTTGAGAATTCATAATTTGCTGTATGATTATGAGCCAATTTGTTTTTGTCCTTTAATCAATTGTAACATTTTTCCATGCTAAACCCTGGATTGATTTAAACTAAAACTTTAGATCATTTTTCCTATTTAAAGCTGGATTTCTCCTTTGGGAGAAAAGTGTTTTCCCATGGATATTGAGGTTCGCAAGAAAATGAGCGTGTTTTAGATATAGCCAATGGCATTTGACTCTATTATAGATTTAATATAGAGGGCATTCCTGAGAGACACACAAGATTTCTCTCTTTTCTCGCTCTCTTTCTTTCTCTTTGAGTGTTTTGAATATCCTAAGGTGCCATGACCTGAGAAAGTATTAATGGCATCAGTGCCACTTTAAGTGGGTCATTCGGAGGTTCAGACATATGAAATGCTGTCGCATTCTGGGGCAAATCATTACTGCATGCGCATCTTTATGATATGAAATGCATTATGAGTGAACCAAAGCATATAACAGATTCGAAAGTTTTATTTCAACTCTTGCTTTTATTTTGTAAAAAAGAGTAAAAAGTAAAAATACTTTTTTATATAGATTATAGTTTTTGCCACATACATGAATGATACCGTAAATAGTAAATAAATATATTGAAGGAAGGGCACAATCAACCATATTGCATTGTTATGTTGATTTATTTTATATGCATTCTTAGGGGGGAAAAAAAGGTTCCAAAAGGGGGTTTTCACAGCAAACACTCTTAAAAATAAAGGTTCTTTACTGGCTTCAGTGGTTCCATGAAGAACTTTTAACATGCATGGAACCATATAAGGTTCTTTACAGTGGAAAAAGTTTCTTTAGATAATTAAAATGTTCTTCACACTAAGAAGAACGGTTCTTTAAAGAACCAAAATGATTCTTCTATGGCATTGATACAAAACGTCTCAGGTTACATATGTAACGAGACACTGCGTCTTCTAGGGGTCGCTATAGGAAACCTAGAGGATGCAGTTTGAAGTTCCCTTGAAAGGGAGCGTCTCAGGTTACGTATGTAACCATGGTTCCCTGAGTAGGGAACGAGACACTACGTCCTCTAGGGGTCGCTATAGGAAACCTGGAGGACGCAGTTCGAAGTTCCCTTGAACCCTCTTTTGGAACCTTTATTTTTAAGAGTGAATGCAATAAAAGAACCATTTGGTGTTCCCTAAACCTTTGAGTGATAGAACCATTTTTGTTTAGTGTGAACAACATTTTAAAATTCTGAAGAACCTTTTTCCACTATAAAGAACCTTTTTTTCAGTGGAATAGTTCCATGGATGATGAAGGTTCTTCACTGAACCATCAATGCCAACAAAGAACCTTTATTTTTAAAAGTGCCTTCCTGAGTAACTTGTACTGTAGGTGTTGTATTCATAAACACAACGAAAGTTCATGGAAAACTGTAGAAAGAAGCTCTTCACTATGGATTGTATTTGAGGATGAATACATTTTTGCTAAATGAGAAAATGTCTTTCTTCTCTGCCGACCAGAAACAGAAAGGGACATGCGGTTGAGAATAAACATGCTTGAAGTGGCTCTAAACACACTTGAAATACTCTGGTAGTGTCTACGGAGAGAAGGAACACATAACAGTGGCTTCAGATCTTTTGTACTAGAGATCAAAATGGGACGCGCTATAGCCTACAGCCTGTGGTAATTATCTCTGTCTGAGAGCCAATAGTGTTTGAGTGGAGAGAGCCAGAGGGCGACAGTGCACGAGTTTACTGAGGAGTGAAGGATCGTCATGCTGGCTTCAGGCTCTATGACGACTTCAATTAGTCAAAACCTTTAAACATGTAATTCAGCTGATTTATCTGGAATTGAAACAGTACACACGCTGTTGTTTCGTGTTTGTTTGCTGAATTTTGCTGTTTTGTTTTGTTGTAGTAATTCATACAGCAAAAGATCAAATCAGGAGTTCTATCATTTAATGTCATTATCTCTTGCTTCTCATGTTTTTCTCTTTAGAAAGAGACTCCTGAAATCTCACAAGTTTCAAAAAAGATCTCAATTTGAACGCAAACATTTCTCATCAAATGGTATCCCATCAAACAGAAAATGTTCTCTTAACAAAAGCATATGGTTTCCCTTCTTATCAGCTACTTAAAGTTCCAGGAACGTTCTATTTTTGTAACCATAAATTGTGCAGAACTGATTTTTTTTTTTTGACAACCTAATAGGAACAGATACAGAACATTCTCTAATGGTCATTTTAAGGGTAATTTCAGGTTTAATTTCAAAAGTTGTCAAACATTTTAGGTTAATTTCAAAACCATAAACTGACCTAGAATGTTGCCTGGAGGGTAACAATATTATAATATCTTACAGAACAGAATCTTTTCTAATGGTTAAATCTCATGATCATTCTGCATTTTGCAGATTTAGTCATTCACCTTAGTGTAATACAGCATTTAAATGTAGAAATTAAGATATATCTTTAATCTATATATGAAACCATTAAATACAATTATATTTGTATTAAATATTTAAAAATATTTTTGACTTTTGTAATATAATTTCAAGGTGCTAAAATCTCCTTCCATTAATTTTCAGATTTAGTTGGATGGATGCATATATTAGTTAATTTATTTAATATTATTTAATATATATACATAAGTGTGTGTGTGTGTGTATATATGAATAGTTCAGATGCAAAAGCCTCTTAGTGCCATTTGAAATTTACTTCTAAAATGAGCATTTTTATCAGGCTCCTATGTTTATGTTCAGTTATTTCACTTTAATGGATTCTCACTTTAATGTATTTTCAATTTCTAATGCATTCATTGCCATTAAAGTGAAATTACTGAACCTACAAATGGCACTTAGAGGCTTTTGCATCTGAACTCTTCATTTATATACTGTATATATATATATATATATATATATATACACAGTATATATTATAAAATAATGCAATAATATAAGATGTATATAGATAAAGAGATACATAGAAACTAGTAAAAATGAACATTATTTTCCTATATTTATCACCTCCCCTCCCCTCATCTCATCTGTTTTTACTTTTGTCTTCACACTTGCTGGCTCTCTGGCTCTCTCTCATGTTAACCTGTCGATGGCGTGTGTGTGGTGTGACTCTGACCTCCATCTGCCCATATGTGACTCTTCACCCTCCCACGAGACCCCTGCGCTCCGTTCTGACAGCCCGTGATTAATTACTCACCCTTATGATTCATGCCTTAAAAATATTTCACAATAATGGACAACAGGTGGTCAACAAAAATGTTGAAGAATCTTAAAATCACATTTGTAATTGAAAGACGGCAGGTCATGTATAGATACTGTGACTCTATGGCACTATCTGAACATTGCTCTGTTTTTTAAGTGACTCAACATGTTTCAGCCAATGGTCTTTGCTAAGATGTTGCTGTGAATGGTTTATAGTGTGTTCTGGGTGGTTGCTAGAGTTTTAGAGGTTATTGCTTTTCACCTGCTTTATCATCCACAAATTACTAAGTCCAAAATGAAAAGTAACTGCACCATTTTCAATAAGTCACGCAATTTGAGCACAAAAGATGTAGGAAGACACTTTTAAATTATATATATTCCTAAACTCACCTGGAATAAATTGAAATGTGCTGTCAGGTATAAAAACACACTGTATTTTGTGTTGCAAAGTCTTTTGTGGATTGACACAAATTTTGATTGACTGTTGGAGGGTCTTCCATTTGCATCGCCCAGGGCAAAGTTACCCTCTGACAGTGATCCGTGGATCTGGCTGGGCCTCTCACCTCGGTGTGATGAAAACTGCTGCTGCTCCCACAGACACTGGCACACAGAGTTCAGCCCTGACAGCTCCGATACTACACAGAGACGAACCGCTGTTCATTTAGCTCGCTCACACACAAAGCAATCACAGTTAAGATCTCTTTAATGCCTCATCATCATTTGTTTCCAACGTGCACCGATGAGTAGTTCACAATAAGCCCGAGAACGTGTATTAAGACAGTAAATAATGTTGACTTTGTATAAAACGTATAAAACATTCCTCTGGGAATTACATCAGTGTCGTACCTGCGTGACAGATGTAGCAGAACGCATATCAAATCACATTATATTTCATTTCTGATGCTTCAAAAAGGCAAGCGGGAAATGAGGCGGATCGGTCTGTAGGTGTCTGTCGGATCTATTAACAGCACAAACTCTGATAATAACCTCTCTATGGGTTTAAAGGGAAAAAATCCCCTGCTTTTTTATCCCAAGGACAAGCGTGTGGCGCGACTGCTTCAGTCGTACAGAATCCATTTCAGAGAGCCTTGAGGCTGAACAGACAGCACAGGTTCATTCAGAGAGCAGACTCCATATTATCCTCACCCCGTGGAAGAATTGGCTCGACCGCACAGAGCATGTGCAGACTTCCAGTCTACCAACAAATTGCCTGTATTGGTCAGATTTGTGCAAAACTCTTTATTGAATCATTGGTGAACCCAAATGGAGTTCCATTTGTCATTATTTTTGACTTAATTTAGACTATAGTTCATTCAGATTTTACACGCAATTTTTAGGTTGCCGTTATATAAGATGCCTATTTATAGTAAGTCCCAGCAGGAACTCTTTATTCTATAGTAAACCATCATGTTCTGGTCTTTTAAAGAACCCAGGAAATCAAAACACTGATTTGAATAAACCATTGAAAAATATCTGGTGTATTAGAAATGTTATTACACCTAGATTATGCAATAATTGCATATAATATAATGTGTAACAAAAGTAAACACTTCATAATACACCAAATATCCAGTACAAGACTTGGATTCTTGGTATAGAAATTATTTTCACTCAGATATCACTACTAAATTTCACAATTAATTACAAAGGAACAGTAAATATCACATTGAATTAAATGCTACCGTTACAGATAGATAGACAGACAGACAGATAGAAAGATAGATAGATTCAATTATATTTTTATTTTGCGTGTGTGAGTGCTCCATTTAAAACTCAAGAATCCAGAATCCAGGTCTTGTACTGGATATTTGATGTACTGCAAAATATTTACTTTTATAGTGTTGGAATATTATGCATTATATTGTATGCAGTCATATGCAAAATTTTAGTGGTTTGTTCAAATCAGTGTTTTTTTTGTTTGTTTGTTTTTTGGTTCTTTAAAACACCAGAACATGATAGTTTACTTAAAAATTGGTGGGACTTCAATAGGCATCTCATACACTCTAAAAAATGCTGGGTTAAATACAACCCAGTGCTGGGTAAAATAGGGACAAACCCAGCAATTGTGTTGTTTTGACCCAGCAGTTGGGTTACTACCCAGAAGGTTGGGTTAAACATTTAACCCAACCTTCTGGGTCAAAACAACCCAATTTTATAATAATGTTAATATTAATTAGCCAGAATTTATGCTGTTTAGTCTTTTGTTAAATCACTTAACTAACAAAAGCCTTTATGACATCATCCCTTCAGGAAGTGACATCACTTTGGTGGCAAAGTGGACAAACATCAAGTGTTAGCAATGGATTTAATTAATTTTTTTTTTTTTTTACAATAACTTCATAATTTGGATTTTAAGCTGTTTAGTTGTAAAATCACATAACTAACAAAACCTTTATGATCTCATTTTCCAGGAAGTGACAAATCAACAGCAGAAGCATTAGGAATTGTTAACAATGGATTTGACACATTCTGTGAGTTCTAAAAGTTTGTTTACTTTCATATAATGGAAGTACTTGGTTAAACCAAATAATATTCATTTTAATCTTTAAATTACAGAATTTAAAAGGTGCTGCATAACAAGAATGGCCCATTAGTCATTGTCATTTGAAACTGCAGAACACTATTTTTCATTTGCATATGTTTATATTAATTATATTATATTAAATTATATTATACAACTTAGAAATCAGTGGCAGTCTTGTTCATGTTTATGTGTACCATATCTTCAGAACACTTGAATACACACAAGCATATTCATTTTTATTTTTAAGTTGCAGAATTCAAAAGGTGCTATTTTTGAATATTCCAAATTTGATTTAGAATTCATACACTATTTATGCATGTTTGAAATGCACATGTTTGTACATATTCTATTAGTATACAACTTTCAAAAATCTTAGCCCCAGTTCTGTATATATTCATGTATGCAACTTCTTGTAAAACTGATTATGTTTGAATAGACCGCTTGGACAATTAAAAACCTGTATCAAATGCGCTCAGGCCAGGTTGCAGAGGAACAAAGGCTGATAATGGGCCAGACAGTAAAGTGCTCTGCAATTACACCAGCAGGACGTAATTGACTGGGAGAAGAACAGACAATGTCTGATCATCAGTGAGCAACAAAAGAGCAGGTACCATCTCTGATCGTCAGAAAGACAAAGACAAATTAACCTTGTTGATCAAAGCTTGCTTGTTAAGTTCAGGATTTTAGAATGGGCTCTTTTGATGATGAGTAAGAATATAAGTTGAATTAGCCACAACACACAGGATGTTCAGCTGGAATGACAGGAAATTTACTGAAATGCAATTCAAATTTTATATAAACGGTTGTATATATTTACACCACCATTCAGAATGTTTGGGGGTCTGTAAGGTTTTTGAATGTTTTTGAAAGATATCTCTTTTGCTCACCAAGGCTGCATTTATTTGATCAAAAATACAGTAAAAACTGTAATAATGTGAAATATTATTACAATTTAAAAGGACTGTTTTTTATTTGAATATATTTTTAAAATGTAATTTATTTCTTTGGTTCAAAGCTGAATTTTCAGCATCACTACTCCAGTCTTCAGTGTCACATGATCCTTCAGAAATCTGTTGAAGAAACATTTCTTATTATCATCGATGTTGAAAACGTTTTTGTTGCTTCACACAGAAATTCTGGAATTGAACTGGAATTGAAAAGCCAGATGACAATTGGCTGTGTTGTTCAAATCCACTTACAATATAACAGAGACTGCATTAAAGTCTTAAACCCAGGATTTGGACTTCCCCTCCATTTCCATTCCAGAAAGCCTATTGTCCATTACCAAGGATCCCGGGGGGCGTATTACAGAAAGATCCTAACTTTAAAATCTTATCTTATCTGTTTGGTAACCATGGTACTGTAATTTCAGTTAGGATCACATTTAGGACAAAAGCTATTACAGAACTGCGTTTCCTAAGTGTGTTATCTTATCTTAACTACAGATACAGAAACCTCCTAACTTGAAATCCTAAAAACTTAACTTTAGGACAACCCCATCACAGCTGTCCTAACTTCAAAATTATTTGAAAGCTAACGGAAAAAACGCTTACAATTGCACATTCCAACAATGGTATTACATTTATTAATAATTGAAAATGAAGAACGGAGATGTTTAATGGTAGAACGACTCTTGGAGGACCCTGAAGATGTGTTTCATTTTGATGACAAAACACTTATAAGTAATTACAGACTGCCATGCAGCATGCTATTACAGTTAGCACAGGAGCTGCAACCAGCATTACAGAGACCAACAAAGCGTCACGGAGCATTACCGGTTATAGTGCAAGTGATAATGCCTTACACCGTGTCTACACTGGACGCGAGCGGCGCGGCGCGACAAAATACTATAGAACTCATTATAATCAGTGATGCTGTCTACACTGGCTGCAGCGCGGTAAACTGCTGCAGCGTTCTATTTATGACGTGCTGACACAAATTTCAAATGATTTTCAATGGTCGATTTATCGCGTCCAGTGTACAGTAGACAGACTTTAGCTGTTGCGGTGCGGCGCGACAGGACAGCTGTTGCGTCCGGTGTAAACACGGTGTTACAGTTATTTGCAAAAGGCGATTTTCAAAGTGAAGTAGCTTCTATTATTTTGTTTACCTCATCAGCTGCTCATGCAGTGTTGGTTGCTTGGTAATAGACCTGAGAATGGATTGTCCAGCTTGATAATGCAATTTAAGATTTCCTAACTAGAGATAAGATACGATTTTGTAAGATAGGATAAGAATCCCAAATCAAGTTAAGATTTGCTTCTGTAATACGAATTTCTGAAAAATCCTAATTTAATATATCACATCTTAAGTTAAGACCTAAGATAAGAAACTTTCTGTAATACGCCTCCAGGACCCTATAGGGGACCTTGTGTTAACTTGATTCAGGTAGACAGCACTCCCATCTCAAGATTGTGCTGTAATCGTCCTTTCCTGGTATGCAGTGTCGTGTCTTTACAGCTTGATAATCCAACTAAGACCAGTAAGACTATAATGCTGTCCATGACAGGAAGGCCTTCATGGGGGTCGCCCATATTTACATGCCCACCTGACCTTTTCTTTCAATTACTTTTTTATCCATATTTGCAGGATATCACATTTGCAGGCATTAACAATTGCTTTCTTAGCACTATTTTCCTGACAAGTGTCTATGTTTGCATTCCCACACTAGCAGCTTGGACAGAGTTTCCTCTAACAGCTGTACCCTTGATCCGAGCACGTATCCTATGATACTAACGTCCAACAAAGACCCTCCTCGTGTCCATCAGGAATCCCCCTGTGGACGAGCCTGTGCTTTATTCCGTGCTCCAGTTCTCCTCACGGGTCCCCAGGCACCGCCGGGGTCATGGCTAACCCAGGCACAGTGTCAGCAATTCATCTGAGATGCCACGAGTTCATGATACACCTCAGCTCAGGAGAAAATCCGCACATGATGAGAGAAGTGTGGGGTCACGGAGTTCACAATAACTAGAGTCTGTCAGATTCCACACAAAAAAAAGGGAGGAACACACACTGTTTTCTAGCTGTATAACTGGGGAGATGCCATAGAGTTCTGTTGTTTTTAGCTATGAAGCTTTACTTACAGACTGCCTGGAAGGATATTTTTCAGAAAGTTGTCTCCAAAAAGAGGTTTTGTCATGTTTAGCTCAATTCTGAAGACAATTTTGTTCCCGGATTACGTTAAGTAAATCCACACAGAGATAACAATAAAATAAAAAGCTTTAAATATTGTTATAAGATAGAAACTCCAACAAAATTGATTAAAAATACTGGGATTTTGTAGCATGTTTTAGAGAAAGGACAATGTGAAATTCCAAATATTTGTGCTACGTTCGAGTAATTTTCAGTACAAGGGCTTGAAAGTCTAAAAAACGAGTTTCTTGAAAAAAATTTCGCGCATGCGTATTTCTATACTCGATATAATCATTAGAATGACAGACGTGCCTAACAATTAGAGCTGTCATAGAGGTCAAAATACAAAAATCAGTTTCAAATTAATCGAGAAATTATAAATGAAGCCTTATTAAGTCCATATTAAGTGACGACAAATTCCTTTTGATTTGGGAAAGAATTTCTGTCTAAAACTATTTATTTATAGGCAACATCATAGGCTACATTTGACGTATTTTGTAGCTGATGAACCAGGGCTTTTGTTTAAAAAAAAAACCCCCGCTACGACTTTCATTTTCACGGCTGGAAATTTTAATCTGAAAGAAAATGCTTGAGGAATAAAGTGAGTTGGTCAGAAAAACGTAGTCTGCATCAAACCACTGTTCAATATTGCAAATATACCAGTACACCGATATTATTTATTATATATAAAACATAATATATGTATATACCATCATAAATAAAAACTAATTTATTTGCTGCCTTTCTCTGGAATATGAAAGATGAACAACCAGTTTGAGATATGGCAGTACAGATTGAAATCCAGCACGCAAGAAAAGGACACAAAAAAAACACAGGTTTGAAGTGTACTATTTTATACCGAGGGAAAAATGTTGGAAAATACACCAATAATAAAACCTTAAGTGCTGTGGTTGATTGTTTCGATACATGAAGTTGATGAGCAGTAAAATAAATACAGCTAAATAAATAATTGTTAAATCCATTGTCTCCGCTTCTCAGTTAAAACAAACGTGTATTTTTGTTGAACGCTTTTAGAGTAACACCAGTTATTTCTGTTATTTTGGATCAATGCATATCCCTTCGTTCCAAAAACTAAATTAAGACGTTTTGCATTTAAAATGGACAATTACACTGTTGAATAAGTCAATCAAAAGTTATTTTATAAAGTCTTTTTATGGCACATGTCATGGTTGACTGTTAAAAGTAGAGATCAGGAGAAAGAGAGATATCTTCACATGTTCACGAATAGCATTGCTATATATACCGACATCGAGAGAGAGTTTCTGCATCATCCGTGACTGTTTAGTTTTTTATGTCTGTAAATTCTCACCAAATGTCCCCATCTTCATCTTCCTCTCATTGAATGGACATGTAGGGCCAGTTGAAACTGCTCCCAGATAGCAGCATATCCCTGATGAGCGTCTCAATGGGCGTTTTACCCACCAGTCGAACGAAGAAAAGCTGCTCTATAACGGAGGAGGACACCATCCGGAGCGCGGGGAGTCTCAGCAGCAGCTTGCCGAAGCGTGTGGGCTGGTTCGGGTACTGACTCCTCACATACTCCTCCAGAGCACACTGAGATTTCTCCTGAAGACCTTCTATGTGCGGCACGTCTGAAAGGCCGCATGCATCTGCATACAAATGAATATAGCCATTAAACACACATCATTCAAAAGAATAACGTCTCTGTCACACGTTTACATAGGCGTATTTACATAATGCGTTAGCTTTCATTTATTTCCTTAGATAAACACAGAATTAATTCATTTGAAAATCGAATTGTCTCAAAGTAGCTTGACCTACAACCTAAATTAGCCTAGTCAGTAGACAGATATGTTTTCATTCAAGATGTTAAACGAATATACCGTGTGCATTTCAGTTTCATTTCTGAATGTTTCTCATAATAAACGATGAAATAGGCTACGCATGGATGCAACGAATTAACGAAACGATTGAAGCTCTGAATGCTGCATTATTTCTATAGAATAGGCTATATTTTGAAAGTTTAATAGAAACTTCTTAGAGAGTAATTAAAACTAAGAAGAAGAAACTCCTCAAAATAACAGTTTGGGCCACACTGTAATGTTGTAGGCTACACACTCGGTATTTTTAACCAGTCTGTGTATATAAGCCTAAATAGGCTATATAAAACTCTTTTTGGAGAGTTTTGAAAAGTTTGATATCAGCGTGTGACTTTTAAATTATGAAAGCTCCCACATCTATATGTTCAATTCTGAAGGACTATAAATGAAATATTTGTAGGACCACTTTTAAAATGAATTTGTCACCACCAAAAAGGAACATTTAAAATGATCATTTAAACCTAAAACATTAATGTTGCTTAAATATATATGGTAACCTATGTGTAGATTTAACTTGACAAAAACAAGCTCTAATTTAACTTTCATTGCTGAGCAGCCTAATGCTGATTTTATATTGTTTTATTTTATATTCTTATTCAAAATTTTACTAACATTATTTTTTAAACAAGCACGTCTTTAATCTGATTGTGCGCAGATGGTACTTTTGAAAGATTGACGGTCCATTATTTGAAACAAACTTCGCGGAACAAATAGGATTAGGATATAGGATTATGCGATATAAACAAGCACGTCTTTAATCTGATTGTGCGCAGATGGTACTTTTGAAAGATTGACGGTCCATTATTTGAAATAAACTTCGCGGAACAAATAGGATTAGGATATAGGATTATGCGATAGACAAGCTCATTAAACTGTACAATACGTTTAGGCTACTTGATCTTGATTCGGGCCTACCTGATGTGAACAGCACTATTGCTTTGGCACAGCTGTATTCGGCGGAGTCCACCTGCAGGGCCTTCAGTTTCTCCACCTGCTCTTGGAAGAATCGGATATGATCCATGAAGGCCACGACTCGGTCCGCGGACATCGGAGACGCGTGAAGCCCGGCGGCGGCGAGGAGATGAGCCACGTGGAGAGGCATGGAGCTCTGCGCAGCGTTCAGAACGAAAAGTTCACTCCAGGTGAGTCTGAGGAGAGACACCTGATCCGTGATTTGGAGATCAGGAAA